TCCCCCTCAAGGGCCACGGGTCAATAGCCCATGAGGCGAAGCCGAATGGGCTATTGACCCGTAGCCCTTGTGGGCTACGGGTCTAATTGTTAATTATTCCTGATGGCATTCTGTCAAATAGTTTGTGTGATAATCTAGTCTCTATTTGTACCACTGGGTATCGAGCCATGCCCAAGATCTCTTGTCAAACTAACCCCTACCTGCAGTCCTGCACCCACCAGAGTAGAAACTGTGGATTACTTGTATTACAGTACAGAATGACACTTGCTGAGATGGTTAGCGTATCAATACTAGATGTAAGTTTCATTCCGTTGAAAATTAATTATGATGCATTGTTACACATACAAACCTGTAGTCTGGGCCCATTCCACTGTAAACCATGCCAACACTTTTTGTCACCATCTCTACCTAAAACGTATATGATAAAGTAATCCAGGTAAGGGTTGGTAGAGTCTGCATACGAGCCAAGTGGCCCATCAGACTGAAGCTTATCCCGGTTTCTGTAGCAAGAAGCGACTAAGAGTATTTCTACTCCCCCCTGAATATGATGCTAGCCCGTCACAGGGTTACCCCAGCATTAAGTTCGCCGGTACCCATTTATACACCTGGGTGGAGACAGGCATGGTGAAACAACATCCCTGGACAGAGCTTGAACCTGGACCGCTTGATCTGGAGACACTAACCATGAGGTCACTATGCCTCCCACAAAGAAATTAGTGGTGAGATTAATTTATATTTTGTAACTCAAAACAACTACCACACATACATCATCATCATCTTAGATGAACACTGATTGAAAGAAGTTTAGTTTTAATGCCACCTCCTCTAAAAATAAATGTTAGTTTCCTCCTAAACCAAAAGTAAACCTAACTTTAACTAGTGGACATAACATGTAACACTTAGGCTATCACATTTTCCATAACCAAAAAACAAACCTTGTTTATTGTGCTGTCATCATAAAGGACTGACTTCTGCTTCTTTTCGGCAGCAAGAACCACCCCATTGGATGCTGGGAAAAATAACAACAAATCCAAAATTAATTTGTTTTGTTAAGACAGTGACAAACTACAAGAAGTTGTAACTATCCAAAAAAGATGGCCCGGAAAGATCTGAGGACAATGCTTTGAGCCTCTTGAAGACTTTGTTAAAGCTTTGTGCTACAAAACTGCAAAGACCTCTTTCTCTTTGTTCTAACTCTTTCACATGCACTTCACATATACAATCATGGCACAAAATAGTTTCATGAATTTGTATCAAGCTCACCTTTTATTCCAACTGAGGGTCCCCCTGCAGCAACCGCTGCCAGAGCATATTCTATTTGGACTAGTTTTCCCGAAGGGCTGTCAAAGAGTCACAAAAATGTTAGGGGAAAAATATCTGTCACATTGACTAAAATGCACTGTACCTACAACAGTATACCACCCATTTCCCCTGGGATAGGCTTTGATCAGGGTCATATCCAACCAAACACAGACGAGCTGTGTTTTAGGAAAAGATATTCACCTCTAGGGTAAATATAACCACCTCTCTGAAGCATGCACTTTTAATTAGTTAATAAGTCTTATTGGTCAAAAAAAAATCCTATCAATTGAATATCTGTTTGTCAGTTAAAAATTTTTCAAAGGTTGAGAACAAACTATATTGTAAATAAAACTCCTTTAAGAAACTCCTGCTTTGCACACTTGATTTAATCACATCATTTATATATCGAGAAAAACATTTCCTAACTAGCTACCTCACTGAAATACCTTAGAAACCTCTGCTTGGTGTACTTACACAAGTACACAGAGAAATAAAGTTTTAAGCACCTTCCTTCTCCGAGAAAGTCCTGCTCTCCATATGTTAGCAAATTCCCACATTTTTACAAATGAAGTAACGGTAAATCACTTGAGAAATTTCCTGCTTTTGAGAAATTTTTGACACTTGAGAACTTATTGGCAGTCAAAAAGCCTTTTTCGGTCAAGAAGTGACCCTAAGGAAACAATCTAACTGTTTTACAAAAATGCCTGACAAACTACTGCTCTGTGCATTTGTTACTATCGAGAGATAACAAAATTGAACAGCAACATCCGAACCATTCCCTATTGTAACCTTTTAAAAAGGCCACCAAATTCATACAGGAGGCATATATACCTCCTCTTTTCCCAACCTTATGTACAGGGGTTGGTGCAGCCTTTTTTCCTTCTAATATGTCACTAATTGGCACCCTCAAAGGGGGAGCAAAAACAGGAATGCAGTTTAAATGATCCATTTCTGAGCACTTGTAACTGTATATAACTGTTCAAGGCTATAGAAGCAGCTATCTTTGTCAACAACTTAAACTAATAGCTAAATTCTCATCTAATTACGCTCATATTTAGACACTGCACGTGTGGTAAGGGTTTTAGGGCTGTTGATAACAAAAGATTAACTTTACATTGTCAAAAAAAGTCGATAGAAAATAAACTTTTTTACGGCATCATAATTGCTTCTATAAGAAGATGAGATTTTACTGCCTCAAGGCACATGGAAGCAGTAGCAATAACGCTAGAAGACTATTCATAGATTTCTGTACTAGTGTGGAAATGTCTGGTCGGTCCATCAAAGGTTTGACGTTCGATTTGATATTTTCGCGCACAGGCATCATTCAGCTCGAAAGAAAACTACCTGAATTACACTGCTGTAGGTTATATTAACAACTGAAGCAAAACAAAACAGATAAAATTGAATAAAATGTACCTGAAAGTTGTTAAACTAAAGCTGTATCTTTCCGTCATTTTGGAACAAGGTTAACCACAATACACCGCGGCGCGCTGACTCAGCGTTTAGTTCCCAGTACTACAAGTTTGGCGCCAAGGCTTGGTTCCTCCTTCAGTCACTCACACGACATTGATCGCACCGTTTTCGTCGCGTCCCTATCCCTTTTCGCTTTTGAGTGAATTTTCCTTTGATTTCGTTAAAATGAGCAATCGTAATCGCAATCGAACTTGGTCTAGGCTAAATCCGCACAATACTCGGACTAGATCAAGTGGCAGTAAGCAAGAAACACGCCGGTATTCAACAAGCCAAGCTGTGAGCCAGGACACAAAATATCATATGCAGTCATCGATGTCGCCTTCATTTTCGTCATCATCAGCTAGTGGTGAGAGAGGATGGGACTATCTGTTACGTCGCAAAGCTGAATATATCAACGATCGCATTCACAAGGCCAAAGCGGCAGGAGTTGCTGGAACAACAGAAGTATTTTTACGTTTTCCCATCAAGGAAGAACCCAGTAGTCCAAAAAGGAACGAATCAACGTATTCACTTTCACAGATGACTCCTTCATTGCCGGGAATGGATGCCTCTCAGAGTGCAAACGAAGGTTTTTGGATTGACACAACTGGTGATGGATACCGAGAACAAAATGAAACGCGACAAACGCTTTCAAGACGAGCAGACCACTATATCAAGACTGAAGCTCCTTGGAATTACCCAGAACCAACCGTCGAAAGCTATGGGGTTCTTCACTCGAGTGAAGATACAGGACAGAGTTATGGGATAAACACTACAGCTTATCAACTGCCTGATCAAACCGTGTCACAAAGCCTGCCAAATGACCGTGAAGATACACGTTGTGATACAAAACAGGGTTTAAAGAGAAAATTTAATGTATTAAGCAATTCTCTGTCAGTTCAAATGTTAGTTGCCAACATACGAAATGCTGTTGCTACAAATCCGAATTTTAAGAGAAGCAAACATGATTCTGCAGCAAATCAGACGTTAGGTCATAATGAACGAAATGGTATTGGTGATGCAAGTTGTACCTCAGAGCAGAGTTTTATGGAAAACAACTGGGCTAATCATGAGTTTGAACAAACATTGAGTCATCACATGGCAAGTGTTATGAAAGATTCTCAGGAGTCTACAGAGTTGGACTTCAAGGGAAACAGGCGGGATTCTGTGGCCAATCAGACATTGGCTTGTAATACACCGAATGATGGCCGAGATGTGAACCATTCTACCAAGCAGGATTTTGGTGGAAATAAGCCGAATTCAGCATCAAATAAGACATTAATTCACACTTTGCCATACCCCGCTGAAGGTGTCGAGGTGGTGTACACAGTAGATCCAGTTGAAGCTGAAGCGTGGCTAAGAAACAATATCATTGACTGTTCTGCCCAGGCAGTTGGTTTTGATATTGAATGGAAACCCCAGTATGTAAGCAAGAAGAAAGGAGGTGTGGAAAACAAGACTGCTGTCTTACAGCTAGGAGTGGAAAGCTCTTGCTTGGTGCTGCATCTTTACAACATGAAGTCGCCACCACAGCTGCTGAGATCTGTCTTGAATGACAAGAAGATTTTGAAAGTTGGAAGTGGGATTTTGCAGGATGTTGTGAAGCTGAAGCGGGACACAGGATTGATTTGCCTGGGAATGGTAGATACACAGAAAATGGCAAAGTCTATGGGTACTAATGCACCACGGAAACTGGGCCTCAAAGCTCTTGCTCAGCACTTCCTTGGAATTAACCTGGAGAAACCAAAGTCTGTCTCCAGGAGCAACTGGGAAAACTATCCTCTGACAATCAGACAAATTCATTATGCTGCATTAGATGCTTGGATTGGGCTCAAAATTTACCAGCGCATGAAACTGGAAATTGGGCAAGGCCAGGCACACACTAATGAAACACAACTCGTTGATGATGAAGCCGAGGAGAAGTCAGCAGTGATTCACACTTTGCCATACCCAGCTGAAGGTGTTGAGACAGTGTATACAGCAGATCCAGTTGAAGCTGAAACATGGTTAAAGAACAATATCATTGACAGTTCAGCCCAGGCAGTCGGTCTTGATATTAAATTTAAACCTGAGTTTGTAAGCATCAAGAAAGGAATGGAAAAGAAGACCGCTGTTGTAGTGTTAGGAGTGGAAAGCTCTTGCTTGGTGCTGCATCTTTGCGGCATGAAGTCACCACCACAGCTGCTGAGATCCATCTTGAATGACAAGAAGATCTTGAAAGTTGGAAATGCAATTTCGCAGGACGTTACAAAGCTGCAACGTGATACAGGATTGACTTGCAAGGGAATAGTCAATACACAGGAAATGGCAAAGTCTATGGGTACTAGTGCACCACCAAAACTGGGCTTCAAAGCTCTTGCTGAGCACTTCCTTGGAATTAAACTGGAGAAGTCACCAAAGTCTGTTGCCAAGAAAAACTGGGAAAAGTATCCTCTGAAAATGAGGCAAATTCATTATGCTGCAATAGATGCCTGGATTGTGTTCAAAATTTACCAGCACATAAAATTGGTGAAAGAGCAACACCAGACACACATTAATGAAACACAACTTGTTGATGATGAAGCTGAGGAGAAGTCTGGTAAGATTGTCAAGTGCCATGTGTGTAAGAAAAAGTTAAAGAGCCAGAATGCCCTTTCTAATCACATCAAAATTCACGCACAGTGCAAGTGTGGTATGTTTTTTCAGGACAAAATTTCCAAGATGCACAGGCTGTTTTGCCCAGAGGTCAATCCTGTTACTCCACTAGATCAAGCTGATGATGATAGCATTTTTCACTGTCAAGCATGTGGAAAGAGGTGCAAAAGTGCTGAGAAACTGATGATGCATATCAAAGAAGTGGGGCATGTTCGGTGTCCATTTTGTACCAGATTACTTAAAGGTCCTCAGTGTACCAGTCATATTAGGAGATGTAGGCAATTCAGTGGACAATGGACTCAGAAACAGGTGCTGCACTCTGAGTGTGACTGAGAAATATGTTAGTTGAACCAGCGGTAGCCTTCAACAAATTTGACTAAGAAACTGAATTTGTTTCTTATCACTTTCAATTGTTGTTGTTGACTTTGATTCAAAAGCTTGAAAACCACCTGAACTTACTTCTGGGTTGTCAACTGTGAAACAAAATAAAACAGAACATTTCTATGTGGATTTTTCACTTCTGCAGTGATGTTATAAGGAGAAATAGTGACTGTACTGGTCAGAATGAAATAATATTATAGTAGTGTTGTGAGCCACTCTGTGCGTTATATTTGAAAATGTTGCAAGTTTTTTAAATACTGTATAGCCACATATTCCCTTCGTAGATTGTTGCCTTTTTGATCAATTAAAGTGTATTTGAAGAATTTGCATGTAAGAAAGATAAAATTGTGCAGTACTAATGAATATGAATGAAAGGAAAGAGTGCATTTATCTTTTTATTTGTAGATGTTAGTGGTCCAAGCCAATCTTCAGAGAAGTTAATATGTAAGTTGTGATTTTGGGCTAGATATAATAAATGGCAATAAATAAAACTTACTTTGTCTTTATATTTAGAATAAATTTAACAAATTGACATCAATTTTCCATGTGTCTGTCCTGTTATTGGTCATGAATTTGGTCATAACATGTCAAAGTAGCTGTGGATCCGCAATGCGGTAGCCGAGTGGTATTCGACTTATGACAAAATTCATTGTCAAAAACAGGACAGATGCATAAAAAAACTGACGTCAATTTGTTTTATACGATAACAAATTATCAAATTGTTCTATCTCACTCATTGCCGCATCACAAAATTATAAATTCATGTGTCTGTCCGCTTATTGACAATGAAAATTAGCCAATGAGCTTTCAAGAATTTCTGCAGTTATTGTTAAATACTTATTTTAACTAATTTTTTTTATTTATAAATGATTTAGTGCCCTTAGCTAGTGCTCACCAAATTTCAAATTTCAGGTTTTCAGTTTTGATTATTTCTTTGCTTTTACATGACCCTACAAGTCAGAAGCTTAGATTTTATCCTGCTCAATTTATTAACTAAAAGCAATGTATCCATCCCCATAATTGTGCAAACTGTATTTTTCAGGGTTAAGTTCAATTACCAGGGGTCTGGTTCGTTCATAGTAAAACTTTCACGCTTCTAGTGGGGTAATTGTTTTCAGTTGCCTAATATTTCCCTGGGAAACAACAGAACCTTACATCTTGTGTATATTTTTGTTCAAAACGCTTTTTGGTGCCCTTGATTCTGTGTTTAGAGGGAAAATTTTCATTGTGTATAAAAATACATTCAGGTAATTATTCAGCTCATGAAAATGCAAACGTTGGAAACAAAACTACATCAATAATGCTTTGAATAAAAACGATTTGTTTAACCTGAAATTGCGCTAATGCCAATATAATTTGCGACAACATATTCCATGCGTTTTGCGTGGAGACTGGAAACTAGTACCCTTTCCCCATTGGAATCCTGGGAAGTAACACTTTGCCGACACGTGAGGTCGTTCTCTTTTTTCTGCGGCCATCTTGGAATCAGTTGTAGCCAAGGAACTGCTACAAAAAAACTGCCAAAATGGGTCGATTGCACGCACCAGGGTAAGGATGCTTAGCGAATAGAGTCAGCAGAGTAGTTGAGCCAACGTTGTAACGTAAAATAAACCCGTTTCTCCAATCAGTGGCCATTAGAAACTCGATTAGATTGTGAGAATTTTTAACTCGAAGTCTTTTTGCTCTACTTAAATTAACTTAAAAATTACGATCTCTCCCAAAGGAAAGGTATTTCTGGTTCAGCTTTGCCATACCGCCGAAGCGTTCCAACGGTAAGAAATGAATATTTCGTGTGCATATTGTTGAATTTGTTTCCTTCTCAAAAAGAGCAAAATACACACTGATGTTTGTAATTGAAGAGTCCAAGCGTGTTAGTTTGAGCCTAAAGTTTCGAGTCCGGGTTTACATGTATGCGTTCAGTTCTCTCGGTGTGGTATAAGACGTTATGTGGTATGTCGTTTTCTGAGAATGGTGAGAAAGTTCAATTCGGTTTCTGTACTCTTAGCTATGGATGGCTTTTGACCTGCAACAGGTTTGCCTACTTGGATACGTTTGATTCTTTGGACAGGATCAAAATAGAGGATGGGATTTGTACTGTCACTAGTCTCAAGATAAGGGGGAATAATTGTTTTCATCTGGTGTTGAGATGTGAACAATGGAAAGAACAAATAAAAGTCTTTTTGTTGTGGTTAGTGAGGGTCCGATGGAGGATGTTTAAAAGTTTGTGGGGAGGGGAAGGGAGAGTATTGAGTAAGTAAGATGACGACAAGGCTAAAGGTGGAAAATTTGGAAGGAACTATCTTTACCTGTATCAGTTGTGTTGATTTTATATGTATTTTTGCCTTGTTTTTGTTCCAGTGGCTCAAGTTGACGGCAGATGATGTCAAGGAACAAATATACAAGCTAGCCAAGAAGGGCTTGACACCTTCTCAGATAGGTCAGTACAACATAAGTTATGTTATTTTTATGCAAGAAATCAAAGGGAGGGTTTGAGGACTGAACTTGACTTGGTGATCTGTTGTTCAAATAGGTGTTATCTTGCGTGACTCACATGGTGTGGCACAAGTACGCTACATCACAGGAAACAAGATTCTTAGGATCCTTAAGGCTAAAGGTATAAACTTTTGTTGTATAACATAACATTAATGGAGTGCCTGTTAGGTTAGTTGCCTAATGGTAGGACTGTGGACCAAACCTTCTGGGTTTAAATCCTGGCAGAGGTTATTGTGTTTTGTTCTTTGGCAAGTAACGGGAGCCAATGCTTGGGTACTTTTGGAGGTAACAGTGTCATTCTTCATACAACTGTTATGGCACGCTGTTTTGTTGTTACTCCCATCTAAGTACCCCTTATACTGAAAGCTGGCATGCAGATTTCATCCTAGTCATTATGTATTGTTTTGAATATCTTAAAAATTATCTTTCCATGTGTTAGGACTGGCAGGAACCCTTCCAGAGGATCTATATTTCCTCATCAAAAAAGCTGTTGCTGTCCGCAAGCATCTTGAAAAGCACCGCAAGGTAAGGATTCAACTATCTCCTCCAAAATTTGGGGAACTGGCCATAAAATAAAACTAATACCTCTATGTAGTATAATTTTGGACAAAGTCACTAAATTGCTTAATTACAGTTGTGTTAGTGCTTGGAAATTTAGTCTACTTTAAATACTTGATGTTTGTTTAGAATCATGTTTAGTATTTTACAACTGAATAAATGGTGAAAACGATCAGAGGTCCTCTCTAGAAAGAGTCAGTCCCTTAATTTATATCTTCCTATAAATCTTACTTCACAGGATAAGGATTCTAAATTCAGGCTCATCCTTATCGAGAGCCGGATCCATCGCTTGGCTCGATATTACAAGACCAAGAGGGTTTTGCCTCCAAACTGGAAATAGTAAGACTTTATCTCTTGTTTTGTCTTTAATGACTTGTTTCAAGAAGGTTCGTAGTATACAAAATGCAAACAAGGTGGACTCACTGATTACAAACATGATGAAGGTGACTTTCTTCACTGGAGCCACTTCCATCAAATTCCATTGGGGATCTCCTTTGAAAGAAACTTTTGAAAGAAAAACAATTTGCAAGTAGCACAGCCTAAGTAATAAAACAGGATTTTCACATCTACAAGTACATGTTACAAAAAGTTATGAAAATAGGTGATAATGTTAGTTGGAGTAGCTGGTAAAGTAATTTCTGCCGCAAAGACATGGTGTTCAAATTTGTGACTGATTGTATTTTAACTTTCGTTTCAGTGAGTCATCAACTGCCTCTGCATTGGTTGCATAAAGAAAGATTGTAAACAATAATGAAATAAAATGGTCCTTTAGAGTTCACTGTGCTGTTGATATCTGTTAATTTTGTTGTTACATACTGCACATTAAAATCAGGAATTCTGTCAACGTTTTGAGCAGGAGAGCATTTGGTTTTCACAGGCGGGCAGAACTTTTTTACCTGAACTTCTTTGTAAGAAAAAACTTCTCGCTAGATGGTCAAACAAGGCGGGAATAATCGCCCTAACAGCCAGTCAAAAATATTTGCCCGGTGCCTGGCCCAAACCCTTGGAAATATCCTGATGTTTTGAACCACCTAGAGTAACAGAAATTGTTGGAAATCAGGAGGTTCAAAACAATGAAGGTGAAGTTCTCCTAACTTTTTTCAGAGAGAGAGTGAAATAGTGCTTTGAATAATCAGGAGATCTGAAAAATCAAGGGTTTGGAAAACTTTAATTTCACTGTACTTATAATAATGCATAAAGCTATTAGGGACAACTAGAAGATTTTAATCAGAGACCATCTGTTTGTCGTTGTTCAGCCAAAAGGGACGTGATAATTACTGTATCTGTTCAAATTAATACATGTACTGCATTGCTATGGGCATTTCACAAAATGTCCAATGTTGTATTGAGAGGCAATAACTGGCACCTAAGGCTATTATACAGACCTTTTCAAAAGTCATGTTATAGCTTCTTGCCGTCAGACTACTGAGTTGCATTACAAAATTACTGTTGTGCAGGGAAGGAGGGAGGTCTCATTTAGGTTTTAAACATTCCTACTGCTATGAATTTGTGAGCAAACACAAATCAAATGTGGATATGCAGTTTTATTGTATTTGTAGACAGCCCCGATGTTACAGTTGAACCAGCTCAAGTTTATACGTCATCTTGTAACAGGCTCTAATTTCCACTAACAAACAAGACCCAGTGTTCGCAGTGAGTTTTTGATCAGGCGGTTACAGAAGAGTACAACTGTCAAAAGGTCTTCCTTTTTTCATGCCAAAGCTGGCAGCTACATTGTACTTGTCTTTTGACAGCCAGGGAGAACCTGGCTGTTGATTAAGTTTTACACCAAATTAAAACTCTGGATCCACGGCAATCCGGTTTCATTCACTCTATCCCCCTCCCTTTTCACCAATAAAAGACAAATTCTACTAATTCAAGGCTTGAACCAGTATTTTACTGTGTCGTTGGATTATATTACTGCTGACTTTTCATTTACATTTAAAAGATTAGAGCACAAAGGCTTTCAGGATCAAAGAGATTACAACACAAGGGAAGTGCTATGTTAAAGAATAGAACTACTTAAAATAAGTTTTGCAAAAGTTATATTGAATCTGTGCTATATTTTCCTTTCTGCATAATGTTGATGAAAAATTACCTATTAGTCCTCTATTTGGAGTTTTACTAATCTTTGTTTAAGTAACATCATGGTAACATGATTGTCAGATATGATACAAAACATACATTCTGTTCAGGGTTGAAATTAATATAATTTTGTTAAGCTCTAGATGATTTGTACTACAATGTCTGTACAGTCTCTTTCATATCTTGCCATGTCGAAATCCCCTGCAAACAAAAAGAAGTTGATGGCTTTCAAATTTGCTATCACAGTTCCGAATCTTCCCCTTTCTAAAATATGTCACTCCCAAAAAATATATTCTAATTTAGCGAAACATATTCCGTTAAAAGTGAGTGTGCCCTTTCAGAACTCTATCCTGTCAGATTTCCAATAACCCCTTTAGCATGTGTCTGTGATCTTCTTAGTTTTTTTTTTTTTTTTTTTAAGAGCATGCTTGTATGATTTTTCTCTCCAAGCTGATTATTAAAATGAAGCAAGAGGTGTTATAAATCAGTCTGTCTTCAGAGGCTAGAATACCAAGGAAGGTACAGAATGCTAATTTTGGTAGGAGATGTGTATTCCTGATACTAATGCAGTTATAACTAATTACTATCAAGCGGCTTTAATGGCAAGGTGTGCGACATACCAATTTACAAAGTATTATTTGAGTCTTGATATGTGCTGCCAACACTTCCTTCAAATCTCTCACTTCTTGTTTTCTGAAGCGTTCATAGTCCTTAAGAGCTTCCTCGTTGAAAAGTCTGAGGGATGAAAACAAAAATAAACAAATGAGGAAAACAAAGCAAGAAAGTTGCGTACTACAGAAAATGCTGTGCTGCAGCTGCAGACAAGTAAACAGCAATATATACCCTACAACCTGTGAGTGTATGTGTGTAAACAGATACACTGGTCTCTGCTGCTCTACTGCAGACACTGGATTTCCATGTCCTGGGGACAACTGCTACTTGTATCCAGCATCAGTGACAGGCATGATGTCAATGCATGCATAAGGCTATAAACCAGTAGTTAGAACCATTAACACATATTGCTTGCCTAGAATCCTATTCTAGAACCTCCATTCGCATTGATTCCCCTCTTGAAAAAGAACTTGAAATTTACTCAGTTATGAAAAGCTTTTTAAGTCGGCAATTTGCTTGTCAGCAACAAAATTACAATATTAAGACTTATTTACATAATCCTAAAAGAAAATTGAGGACAGGCAGACTTTTAGCCAGGATTTGAAAAGTGGGCGTCCAAAATTTGCTATGGGGCCTCCTCAAGTGAACAATTTATAAGACAACACATGAAAAATAAAACAATTTTCTTTAATAAGTGGCTGTCCACAGGATGCCTGGATGCCCATCTAGCTAAAAGCCAGAGGACAAGTAAATGCAGTTTAATCAGCAAGTGGCCAAATACAAGGAAAGAGTGACAAATGATCACCTGAGCTCCTCTTTTGTGGTCTTCACAGTTTCCTCTGCATCAGTTATCTGTTCTTCTAAATTGTTTATCTTGGTTTCCAAAATGTCTGGAGTATCGGCACCAAAAATCATTGATGACAATCCCTTGAATGAAAATCCACCAGACTTGGGTGGGGTTTGGCCACTTTCTATGGCTTGCTACAGCACAGCAAAACAAAATAGTTAGGAAATTACAAAAAATACACTTTGCCTACTGTTGCTCAGTAAAAATAAATAGACTTTAAAATGGCTTTTTATATTGGCCATACATTTAAGATTTTGTGACAACAGTGGAGGACCTCAGTGGTCTCCCTGGGACCCTGTCCAAGGTTCACCATAGATCTGCACTTCTCAGCCCCATGAGCCCTCATCTTAAGAGTAGCAACAGATGTCTTTTATGCTCTCATTTGAGACTATGCACATACAGAGCATGCTGTTAGTAGAGTTATCATGGAGACCACAGTAATGATGAGGCAGTTTGACTGTGACCCTGCTCATACTTTTCACTTAACAATTGAAATAAGTCTTAGAATATAGTTATTACTATTATAGTGCATATGATTGTTGTCTGAGTCACCTTTTGAGCTTGCATGTCATCTCTCTGTGTTTTCTTGTTAGTCAAAGTTTCTTCTGCCTTTTCCACATCATACTGACGCAACAACTGCTTATGGGATACACCTCTGGAAGGAATGTGACATTGCAATTAAAGAATGAACACTGTCAGGACTAGAATGGCCTTATGCCACTCATCTGAATTAAGGAGGAACACAAGTCACATTCTGCATCATCTGAGATCAATTATGGAACAGACGCACAGCAACAAAGAATCTACTTGTTATTTAAAAGAAATAGTTGATTTTATCACAAGCACTGCTTAATGGCCAGTATTTTGGATTCTGCTGCTTTGCATACATTTTGTTTACAGCCAGGATATGTGCCATGATATGAGTTTAGGAGTAGTTCAATGTTAAAATAAACTCTGTACACTGCTAAATTAATCTTGTTCTTCTAGATGTTAGATTCTGTCAGTGACAAACTATTCTGATGTATTTGATACATTTCCAGATGTACAATCAGCGGAACATTACAAACTCACTTCAACACTTCTGAAAAGTGCAAATACTCCTTGAGTGGCTCAGAGAAAGCCATTTCATCTTCACCAAGTGCCTCATCAACAGATGCAGCCAATCTAGTTCACACAGAGAAACACAGTCACACTTCAATAAAAAAAGGTTGTTTCAGATATCAACATAAGTGATCATATGGTAAAACAACGTAACAATTTACTAGTTAACAGAAGCAAGACAAGTAAGTAAGGCAATGGCTGAATATTTAATGGCTGTTCAACCAGTGGAAGATTCAATGTGAACATTTTTGGCTGTCTCCTCCATCAATACAACAGATGCTCTAAGGCACACTGGAAACTCTTTACTGATTTGTGGTTAATGCCAGCTTTTAATTCCATTTTCCATCTTACAGATGAGAGGCATTTAGTGTCATCACCAGGAACTCAACCCTCATTTATCTGGGACGTAGTAATGTAGTAGTTAAAGATTTGATATCGCTAATATTGCAGTTATCTCTCACTTGTGATGTTGTTTTAAGAGACAGAGGGTATTAAATAACCTGCTCACCTGTCCATATAGTGACCTGACTTTTGTAGACCATCACCCATCTCCTTTTCCAAGGAACTCCACTCGCTGTAAATGACATTATACATATCAATGCGGTACACCACCAAACTATCTGATGTCTGTTCGATAACATTGATGATATTGAAAACAGAAATATCATTCAATGAGTAGCAAATTAAAAAGTTTGATCATGGAATGAATATGTCACCTGATTAGTACAAACTATCCTGATATGCATAATTGACACTAGTTTCACAGTATTCACGTTGTCCTTACAAGTGGCCAATAATAACTATGAAAAATAATAATAACTTAGTACATACCTAAACACCTTCCCATAAGTAGCATGTTGTTTGTGAATATCAAATATTATATCTGCAATGCGCTAAACAAAAAGAAAATCAAATCACTTAGATAGTATATATTTTATCAGTAATATGTTGAATTGAATGTCAAAACACTAACAGTAAACTTTTTATTCCTGGTTTACAAATCATTTAGAACTAATTTATTGAAGAAGGTTTGCATAGATGAGTACATACTGGAAATGATGCAGGTGTCAATCTTGACTAATGCAATGCTATTTGGGAAAATTGTTGTCCAATGGTTGAGGTATGAAATAGATATTATTAATAGTATTAAAAGAGAAAAACACTTAAAAAGCCATAAATAATTGGGTATCGGTGAATTTAATGCCTGGGCGTGACCCTGCAATGGACTAGTGCCCCATCCAGAAGGGAGTAGAAATTGGTTAATTAAACTTAAAGCTACAGAAATAGAGGATATTACATGCCAGCACATGGATACAAATTTTATCTTCGAGTGTTCAACTAGATATCTCACGAGTGCGCACAGTGAACGAGTGAGATATTGAGTTGAACACAGGAAGATAAAATTCGTATCCACAAGCGGGCATGTAGTATTTTGTTTATTATATAAACATACTAATGACGACGTTTTTGATGGTTTTCCGAAGATTTCCAACCACTTTCCGAAGATTTCCGCAGATTTTCCAAAATTGTTCCAAAGGCCAGATGGACACTTCCGAACATTTTCTGAACATTTCCGGACATTTTCCGAAGATCACCGAAGATTGCCAAAGATTGCTGAAGCCGACCAAAGAGGATCAGAAGATGTTTCGATCATACATCAACAAATTTAAGTGTAGTTAAAGGGACAAAACAATGATATCTTTACAGTCCGAATAATAAGAATAGTATCTTCACTGCACGCAATGAAGAGATGATTTTTTAGTAAAAGGAAAAATCCTGGTATTTCACTGGTGTTTAAATAATAAACTGTGATAAACTTCACAAGTATGGGTCACTTGACCCAACCTGAACTTCATGTTACCCCCAAACCCTCTTAGCTATAGGCAAGGCATAACTTAACAATGGATAATCTACCTGTCTGACTTTAATCATAGCTGCCACATTGCTTCCTAAGTTTTCAGCGTAGTGCTTCATGTCTTCAAATCTCCTGAGAATGCAAACAACACAGCACAAAATTCAAATTAAATGCTGCCAAGAGAAAATGAGGAAGAGAACAGATGCCCCCTACATGGGCTGCCCCTGGTGAAATTATAATTTAAAATCAATCACAAGTTCTGTCTCAAACTTCTAGGCTACATGTATTTTGAGGACACCTGTTTGGTAAGTTGCAAATATGACAACATTCAGGGCTCAAAAAAATTGTCATCTGGTTGTCCAGGACAAGTATCTCGATTCTCCTTGTGGGCAAGTACCTTTTTATTCTCACCTGCCCGATGGGCAAGGGATCAGGTAAGTCATCTGCCAACTAATTAAATTGTTAAAAGAACAAACTAAGACTTGTACAGGGCAAGTGAAATTTGAGAGATACTTGTCCTAAGAGCAAGCTGGTATTCAAGTTTTTTTTTTTTGAGCCCTGCATCATGAATGTATTTTTTTCATAAGGGGATACCATGACTCATTGCAATTCAATGGCAGTAGACTTATTTTGAAATTGATAAAAAAACATTTATTATCATTTGTATATAATATTTAACCTGTCAGGTTCTTTGGCTGAAGCACTCCAACTTTTTAGTCTTGAGTCGACCTGCAGGAATTTGTAAAGGTAAAACATTAAAAGCAACTTTGTAACAAAACACTTATTTAATAAATACATTTCTTGCTACTTTGTTAAGCTAATAAGTCAGAACTATGTTACAAATCAACAGTCTAAAAATATTTTCACCTTGCTTTGGTAGTTTGTAGCAAGTATCGCTTCCTTCCATCCCTCCTCCTACAAAACACACAGTTGTCGTTAATTACATCATTCTGAAATTAATTATTGGCACAATTAATTTACTACTGTTTCAAATTTAAGACAAATCTATAGATAGTTTTCATGTGACGTCATCACTTTGTAAAATCCAAAACTAAAGAGCCAACAAAGATTTTATCCTCATCAGGCATAAGAGATAGTATATTTATATCTGTTTACAAATTTACAGCTCAATAGCGTGCTTCATTTGGAATCCAGAGCACTTTGAATTTCAGGGTTATGGAGGTGCGTGACACAAGGCTATGATCGAGTTTGTCAAAAAATATATACTTATCCCATGATTTTGAGCCTTTTTAGAAGTTAGAGCATTAGGAAAAGTGCTTATGTANTTGGTGTACCACGGAGGTACACCAACATGGCGTTTTCATACTGGGCTCTATGAATATCTGCGAAACATTTTCACGAATATCTGAAGTTTGGGGAAACGCACAGGCCTAAACCTTGGAGAAGTGTCTTATTTAGTTATCATCTATAACATCATAATTTCATAGCTTTTTCCACTGGATGGTTTTCGATTTATTTTTTTATTGCGTGGCAGTGAAAACGATCTATTTCCAAAGATTGGAAATGCTTGCCATAAAACAAGTTAGCCCAGTTGCAACCTTGAAAGATCAGTCAGAGTTGCACGGGCGTCTTGTCCAAATCACAACATGCCTTCACCATAGCTACAAATCTAGAGGTCAAGCCATCACATGGACTTTTACTGGGCACTGGCCTCATGTTTTCGACACTTAACCCTAACATAAGACTGTGTGTATTTTCCCACCTTGGCAAATAAAGGGATATCAGCATTTTGTCAGCAAAAGCAAATTATCTGAATGGCAGTGGACTACACGTAGCATACATTACCTGCTAGAAGATGCCTACATACATTTGTACGATAGGAGGCTGCGGGCCAAGTGGTTAGGGCCCTGGACTTGAAATCCAGAGGTCGCAAGTTCAAGTTCTGTTATGATCGCTAGCTTGAGTTGTTTCATGGTAGACTTGAATTCATTAATTCTTCGGCCACCGACTGAATTTCATCTTACCATTTTGGGTTCTCAGCTTTTTCATGTTAATTGCTTGGCCTGACTAGTGTTTGGCTATAGACACTGACAGAGGGTAAATATGGGATTTTTTATTTCGAATCTTGATGTGCCAGTTAGGTTCAGAAAGAAACATTCGTAAGTTTTATTATGTACCTGGTTAAAAAATGAAATAAATGAAAGATCCTGTGATATCTGTGGATGTGCCCCACATCTTAATAGGAAGCTCTGGAATGAAACAGGACAAAAATGAATCAAGTTGAACAAAAAGCTTCATCTGCCATCACAACATATAAAAAGGGCTAGAGGGAGTACTCGGGAAAAATTTCTAAATATAATTTTGGACAGTAATGAAATATTTCTGAGGGTATCACAGTCTAAAGTGAATGTTCTCTTGAGTTTTCATTTATTTATATGGCTGTCTAAGATGCTTTTAGCTTTATAGAGCTCACAGAAAGGACACACACCATGTGAAACAGAATGTTACATGTATGTGACATTTTATCTCACCTCAAGTGCCACCTTGCGCTTGTCTATAAAGTCTGGATCAAACTTATCTGCTGCTATCCGCAGGGCTGCTATGTTAATCTGAAGAGAGAGAAATAAATAACCACTGAAGATTAGTGAAAGTCAGTGACAATTACATGTACATTTAAGACAAAAAACAGGAGTTAAAAATTTCAATCTGCTTTAATTTCTTACCCTTTTCTCTGGAAGAGGAGGCACAATCAACTGAAAAAAAAAATCATCTTTTAAAAATGTCTGTTAAGCACATGACTAGCTATGTTAAATCATGACTTATCAATGTACATGTAAATTCTGTTTATTTGTGTGACATTCCAGATACCCAGAGACCAAAGAACAGGGGATAGCCAGGTAATATCAAAAATGAATGATACCTCTTTATTGCCTATTCTTGTACATATTTTTGACTGCATCATTCCATTTTCCTTGGCTTTGTTTTCTCTCAACCCAATCATGTATTGATCAGGCCTTTTAGACTCTAAAGAGGGGTTCTGGCCAAAACTGAATTCTGTGAGCAGTGGACGCTATATATGTGAAATGTGCCAGTCTGCAGAGGCGGATCTAGGGGAGGGGCCCG